AGTCCCCGGTGGCCGACAAAAAAAAAACACCATAGAACACCTTCTGTAAAGAACGAACTGTTTCGTTCAAGACAGATCCTTAGCGCTATTTAGATTTGGATGGTTTCCATCGCTATTAGTTTCCCAAAAAAAATGCACTGTGTTGAACGCTACGCGAGCGGCTTGCGCTTCAGTTCTGAGTGCTTGCTGCCTTGCCCCAGTTGCCCGGGACCTTCTGCTCTTGGAATGCATTGAACCTGAACTGTGAACCAGACTGAATTTGCGAGTGCCACTAGGAGCAAGGACGCTACTAGGAGCAAAGGGCATCGCTACTAGGAGTGATCGAACGCTATTAGGGGCGCTCCTGGCCTTACTACTAGTAACAAGAAGCTACTAGTAGCAAGAAGCTACTAGGTTGGAGGAACTCGCTATTAGGTTGGAGGCCATGACATTAGTTCTGCTTTCTTAAGCTGTTCTTGCAAGAATTAGTGGCAAGTGGTTCAGTGACATGCCGAAATGCATGAAACTTGTCTTGTCTGAGGTTTGCACATGCCTTCAAGCTCCGCTGACATGAGGACAGTGCCTTTGATTGCCTATCAATTTCGATCATTTCCAGACACGCTCCAAACCTTACTTGCAGAAATGATCATTCCACCTGCCCCAAGTCAAGTTTTCCTGAAACATCATGAATAGTGCCGGCGCTGCTTCAAGGAAGCTGCCCAGGGGGAACTTCCTTGAAGCATGCGTCCACTACCCTCAACTTCATTAAGGCCTGGTTAAAACAAGAAAGAAAAGTAGCATCCGAACGCTCCTAGTAGCGATGCCCCTTGCTCGTAGTAGCGTTCTTGTTCCTAGCAGTAAGGCCAGGAGCACCTAGTAGCGCCCTTGCTCCTAGTAGCGATGCACCTGTTGCTACAGCTTCCGGTTCGTTCGACCTGCCTTGCCCAGCATCACCAGACTAGCTTTCACAACTTTGATGAGAGTCTCGATGCGTGCATATTCCTCGAAAAGAAAGGCCAAGGGCCAAGGCGAAAGGAAAGCAACAAATACAAACGACTGAAGGAAGAAACTTAGAAACCTTTATACTAGGAACAAGATGCTACTAGGAACAAGTGCCTTACTAGTAGTAACAAGAAGCTACTAGGAACAAGTGCATCGCTTCTAGGAACAGGTGCCTTACTAGTAGTAACAAAGAAACCACTAGGAACAAGTGCATCGCTTCTAGTAACAGGTGCCTTACTAGTAGTAACAAAGAAACTACTAGGAACAAGTGCATCGCTTCTAGTAACAGGTGCCTTACTAGTAGTAACAAAGAAACTACTGGGAACAAGTGCATCGCTTCTAGTAACAGGTGCCTTACTAGTAGTAACAAAGAAACTTAGAAACCTAAACGACAGGAGCTTGCTTGTTTGGTCGCTGTCCTGGCTGTGGAAGACACCCACCGACACGATGCCACCTGACGCGGACAGATGCTGCGAGGTGCAAAGTGATGTCAGGATCTGCTGGTCCTAGGGAAAAGTAATGCCAGGAGCGCCCCTAGTAGCGTCCTTGCTCCTGGTAGCGATGCCCTTTGCTCCTAGTAGCTTCTTGTTCCTAGTAGTACTGCCAGGATCCCCTAGTAGCGTCCTAGCAAAAAGTAATGCGTGTGGCTCCAAGAAAAGAAACAATGCAAAAATGTCATGCAAACACCTTCTTGCAGAACTGCTTTCTTGTGCAGAATATTATTTTGTTCGCAACAAAGTCGTAGGAGGCGTCTGACTTGCTTTTTCGCTCTTTGCCTTGGGGTGTCCTTTAGGTAGGAAGCCATCGCTCTTAAGTAGCGCTATTAGAAACAATGATAAAATGGAGAGGCCCTCGATACTAGGGTGGAGGCCATCGCTACTAGTAGCAAGAAGCTAGTAGGTTGGAGACCATCGCTGCTACTAGGTTGGAGGCCATTGCTCCTTGCTCGCTCTTTGCCTTGGGGTGTCTTTTTGTAGGTCTCCGCGTGCGCAAGTTTGCTCTTTGCTGCATCGGGGATGGTCTGGAGAAAGTCCTTGCAGCCGGCTAGAACCCTCTCTGAAGCCTTCTCTAGTAGTAAGAATGCTCCTAGTAGCGATGCCAGGAGCCCCTAGTAGCGTCCGTGCTCCTAGTATTATGGCCGGGAGCCCCTAGTAGCTTCTTGTTACTAGTAGAAAAGTATCACATTCAGGCCATGCCTTTGCACAAGAAAGGGCAGGCCTATAGACGAGTCTAAAACAAAGCAAACATTATATAAAAGAGTGACAAGAATTGTAAGTAACAAGGACGCTATTAGGTGGAGGCCATTTCCACTAGTAACAAGAAGCTACTAGGGGCTCCTGGCCATACTACTAGGACGCTACTAGGGGCTCCTGGCATCGCTACTAGGAGCATTCTTACTACTAGTAACAAGAAGCTATTAGCTTATTGTTTCTAATAGCTTCTTGTTACTACTAGTAAGGCACCTGTTACTACTAGCGTGGCACTTGTTACTACTAGTAACAAGAAGCTACTGTATAATGCTATCTTTCTTGAAACAATTCCAGTGCTTTCGGCTCCTGTGCCATCTCTGCAACGATCGTCTCAGGTTTCTTCCCCGAGCCACCCGAGGAGATTCGGGGCCTCACAGCTTCAATCAAAAAGATAAAAAAAAAAAAACAGATTAAACAGTATATTTCTTAAGACTCTTAATAGATCCTAATACTCCAACCTACTAGCAATGGCCTCCAATCAAAAGGTAGGTCTGGTGAAGATAGATTTCTGGACCCTGCTTGACGACAAAGGCTCAACTTTCAGCAAGATACTACGTGTGCGCAGTGACCGCATTTGTTATCAAGAACGCCATTAACACCACAAGAGACCACACAAAAGTTCGGTATAGTCAAGCAAGAAATATATCAACAGACTGCGTTCTCAACCCGACCAAGAAAAGCAATGCTCCATGCTACTTTGTGGAAAAAATATGCAAACATGGTGTTCAAACTTTCAAGAGGCTTAATGAAGCTCACACCTGTCACGTCCATTCAGCAGCTTTCTTGCTCCCATTGGAGCCACTGGAACTTTGACATGAAGGCTTAGAGCTTTAAGCTCTTCTCCCTAGTAGCTTCTCAATGGCCTCCAACCTAGTAGCGTCCTTGTTACCAGCTCTATCTGGTTTCCCCCTTTGCTCAATATGTCCTATGACTCGCGGCTCATTAGCTGAGATCTTGGCTGAACGCTCACTACGGTGTCCAAGAATTTCCGAGCTTGATTGAACCTCGTGGGGTCAATGGTCATCTCGGGTCGCATAGTAGCGTCCTTGTTACTACTAGCGTGGCACTTGTTACTAGTAGCGATGCACTTGTTACTAGTAGCTTCTTGTTACTAGTAGCGATGCCGGGAGCCCCTAGTAGCGTCCTTGTTCCTAGTAGCGATGCCAGGATCCCCTAGCTTCTTGCTCCTAATTAGTAGTAAGGCCAGGAGCCCCTAGTAGCGTCCTTGCTAACTGCCAAACTGGGCGTGGAATAAAAAGGCGTTCAAAGAGAGTGTGTGAGTGCCTCTCTACTAGCGGCCTCCAACCTACTAGCGATGGCCGCCTCAAGAGTGTGGAAGTGCCTCGACGCCGTAACAAAGTTGTTTCAAGATGTGGAAGTCCCCGAATCCTGGCCTTACTAGTAGCTTCTTGTTACTAGTAGTAAGGCCTAGTAGCGTCCTTGCTCCTAGTAGCTTCTTCTTACAAGTAGTAAGGGCTGGAGCGCCCCTAGTGGCGTCCCGATGCCCTTTGTTACTAGTATCTTCTTGTTCCTGGTAGCAAGAATGATTGACACTCAAATCGCATATTGCAACCCCGTGGCTGCGCTGTGATCAATGCATTCGGATGTAGCCTGATCAGCGCTTGAAAGCACGACAGTTTTCAACAGCACACGAGCATGTGACAATAAGTAAGACAAATATGCCAAATGCAAAGAAGTGTCTATTCTTCCACCCAACAACAACAACAACAACAACAACGACAACACTTTCTAGGAACTCTTGCTAGGATACTGCCCTTCCTTCCTTCCTTCCTTCCGTCCTTCCTTCCTTCCTTCCTTTCGTCCTTCCCTCCTTCCGTCCTTTCCTTCTTGTCCTTTTGACTTAGACTCTTTTGACTTTCTTGCCTCCTTTTGGAAGTCCATGTGTCATTTCTTCCTTCCTTGCACATCTAAACAGTAGCAATGGGTTACAAACAATCAGACTGTACAGTTTTAGCTTCGCTCAAAGGCTTTCAGACTGACGAAACAGCAACCTGACGACAAGAATACAACAATTCGGTTGGCCGTGGCCTCTCTTGCATTATTCTCTAATTCATTAGCAAGAAGCCACTAGGAACAAAGGGCATTACCAGAAACAAGAAGCTACTAGGGGCGCTCCTGGCATTGCTAACATACAACTTCTTTGAGGCAACGACGAGGCCCAAATGTCTACCACATGTCGTCGCGTCGGCCAGGAGCCCCGTTCGTAGCGTCCGATCGCTGTTACTATAAAGGTTCCATCACTTGCATCACTGGCATTTGGAGCAATCAAAGCAATGCGAACTCACTTTTTTCTGTCTTGATATCTTTCCATTAGCCTATCTGTCTTTCATTGGTAGTATGAGGTGTAGTTTCAAGAGCTGGTAGGTCCGGGTAGTACAGCCAAGGCCAGCACCCGAAAATACGGGGATCCTGCACAACGCGGTATTCGATCGAGCAGAAGTCCAATGACGCGCCCCACCGAGCTCGGCTGATTCACTTGTCCGTGTGATCTGTGCGTTCTACTTTGTGCTCGCCATTCACCGTCGTGTTCATTTTGGTAGATTGATTCATCGATCTTGCAAAAACAAGTACACACGATCCGTATGATCCAAAGCAAGGCTCAACGACAATGTTGCGTTTTGCAAAAAGCCTGAGCTCTCCTGTGGCCTGGTAGCTACTTAAGCTTGCTAGCTACATGTTAGCTGCTCAAGCTATTCTTCACAGCCAGACTCCACGACCAACCCTCTCCCCCGCAAAGAAAAACAACTTTTAAGCTTCAAATCTGGACTCCTCATCCATGGGCAGCGACTTCAAGTAGTCTCTGGTCTCCTGCAAACCTGGACTCCCATCTGTGGCTAAGGATTCATGAGCAACACGCTCTTTTGCAAAAGAACCGAGAGAGAGAGAGAGCAACAGAAAAGATATGTTTTTTCTTTGGGTCATTCTTCTTGTTACTACTAGTAAGGCACTTGTTACTAGTAGCGTGGCACTTGCTCCTAGTAGCGATGCACTTGTTACTATAAATTCCTTCAACAAAAAGGCCGGATTTGCCCATTCGCAGATGTCTCCCTGCCTTTAGAGGTGAGAGTCTGAGGTTGGCACAGCCTTCGTCAGGTACCCAATAGGCCTAAGATGCAAACCCAGCAATGGCCTCCAAGCTAATAGGAAGCTACTAGTAACAAGTGCCACGCTACTAGTAACAAGTGCCTTACTAGTAGTAACAAGAAGAATTTAATTCAATGAAGTACAAAAAGATGAATGCCAAACACCTACCCAATAGGCCTGAGATGCCAAACAGTTGAGTTGTTCATATCTTTCTTTTGATCTGCCTTTTTCAAAACCGACGTGGTATCTTGCCCTTCCCTTCTGTACTTTCTGTGTGCTATTTTGAAGAAAACAACATTAAATGTGTTCCTGTTTCATGCCTATGGTTTTTACTTTTTTTCGTTTAGACCTGTAACTTTAGCCTGTTCTTTTCTGCTGCAATTCCTTCCTGTGTCTTTCTACTACTCGACTCTTAAGAAGGCATATCATGTTACTGTTTTCCTTTCTTTCGTTATAAGACTAGTACTACCGTTATCAAAAGAACATGTCTTTTTTCCCAGCACCCCAGCACGCGAATTTGTGCCGAGTTGCATCAAGCCCAGCGAATTTGAAGCCCTTCTCCAGGATCCCCTCCTGAGTTAGGTGTCCAGTGCAATTTCTATTTCAGAACCAGTGAAAACACAAACATGTTCGCAACTAGGGGCTCCTGGCATCGCTACTAGGAGCAAGAACGCTACTAGGGGCTCCTGGCCGTACTACTAGGAGCGATCGGACGCTACAAACGGGGCTCCTTTCAGTGCCTTTCAGTGTGGTCAGATCTAAGCTCCAGCACGCTGAAATATCCTTTCAGTACCGCTGAAATGAGTCTCACATCCTTCGGAACAACACTTACGAACTTGATTGAAAAACACACAATAAAAAAGAAACAACAAAGAGGTTCAAGTCTAGGTCTAATGAAAGAAAGCAAACAAAAAAACAGGAAACCTATAACAATATATATATATACATGCAAGGTTTGACCTCTCTTAACAACGACCATCAGCAGCTGAAACTTTTGAGGTGCTTGGCTCGGCGTTGCTTTTGCATCATGCCAAATGAACAATGCACAAGCTGCAGCAATCATTTGTCAAACGCAAAATGCAAACATGTGTGATGCAAGACAAGTGCAAAAGCAATGAATCAAGAACCATCGCCACATGACAGCAGGAGTGTGAAGGGTTTTGATCAATCTGTCGATGCCAAAAACGCGCATTCGGTACCGAGCATTGCTATGCTCAGATAATGGCCCGTCACACGTACCACGTAAAGCAGCAAAACTGGGTTCACGAAAGAAAGAATGCGGAAAAGGAAACTGTGCAAATTTATCGTTCACTAGCTTGGCCCAAGTATGCTAAAAACAGGTGTGGAAAGACTTGCTTGGAAAAGAAAAGCAAGTAAACACTTGTTTTTAAAAATAATGTGTGGCAAGGCAAGCTTGTTTTAAACGAATTAAAACAAAGTAAACAAAACATAAATCCAAGACTGCCAGTAGGTACCTACACCCTACCACTAGCTGCCAGTATCAGTAACGCTTTTTTAAGTATAATAGCAACCTGCAGACAGACAGAATATTAGGTGCATTAGGAAACAAAAAACCTTAGTAGTTAGCAGATAGAATATTCCGTATACCTCCAGATATAGCTGCCGATGTTTGACGTCAGCACCTCTGTGATACCTCAAACTCACTGCACTACCTTTAGTATCAAGAAGCTACTAGGGGCTCCTGGCCTTACTACTAGGAGCAAGGACGCTACTAGGGGCTCCTGGCCTTACTACTAGGAGCAAGGACGCTCCTGGCCTTACTACTAGGAGCAAGGACGCTACTAGGGGCTCCTGGCCTTACTACTAGGAGCAAGGACGCTACTAGGGGCTCCTGGC